AATTGATCGTGACTCAGAAATTTTTAAAGTAAAATTAACTGAAAACAAATTATGATTAAATTAAACTTACTAAATGCTTGAAGTAGTCTAACTGCCTTACCTGAAAATTAAAAATGAATTAGTTATATTCGTATATTTTCTAACCAAAAACATAATTCTCATACAAGAATAAAACAATCTGGTACAATGTTTGACACAACTTTCCCTTACCTCCTTACTTATAGTAACAATTATTTTTTTAAAGTTAATAAAATATAAATATACTAATTTAATTATAATTACAAACTTAAGACAATTACTATAAATTATGACAATTCTGTGTTATATATATATATATATATATATATATATATCTTTGATTTACTTTAAATATCTTTCAATTTAGTTAGTATACATTTATTTCCCATTCAATAAAAAGCCTAAGTAACAGACATCCGTCACTGAGGTTCTATTTCGCTCTTAATTTTAGTTTTAAAAAGATAAAGAGAGATTAAATTGTCGCATTGGTCTTAAATATAAAAAAATTAATTTGAAAAGTATTGCCTAATGATTAATTATATTCAAAAAGTTATAAATTCAAAAGTAGGAACAACTAAATAGGAAACATTTTTTCGCTAAGATTAGGTCGTTTAAAAATATTTATTTAATATTTTTTTTTAGTGAAAACTTCTTTGGCTGCATTTGGATTCTCTTTTTTTTTTTTTTTTTTTTTTTTTGTTAAGACTGAATTTGATTGAGCCGTTTCCCCGATGTATAAAGTCGGCTTGAGTCGACTAATTGAAGTGGTTTTGCCTATGGATTAAAATATCTTAAAAATTAAAAAGAGGACATGCATACTGAAAGCGAGAGAAATGTTTAGCATTTCATCTTCTTTATAATGAGTTACTATTTATATTTTATATTTCATATTACTTATCTCGTCTTGTTAGTGTTTCCACTTCTATCGTTTGGTCTAAAGCACACAATTCAATTTATTTTTTTAATTAGCTATATAGACGATTATAAAAATTTTCAAATCATTAATAGATAGATTTATTGAGATAAAAAAAAGTAATAATAGAGATCGAATTTCTAAATGAACGAAAAATAATAAAATAAAAATTCGCCTTAGGAGCCCAATTTCCTACTCACTAAGATAACCCTACCAATTAATAGCCTTTAGTTTTTTGTTTTCTTTTTCGGAAAAGTATGATGATACCCTAGCAACTTCAGTAATGCGATGAGACATACTAGCAAACGAAATGATCTCAGCATTATCATTGTGTCATCACTGATTTAGTGCAGTCATTGTATGGTACGTTAAGTACATGAGTTAGTAGATGAGGTAGGAGTGGAGGAACATAGATGTCGTGGCAACATAGATCATTGATAGGCCGCCAGAGCGCACTAATTCCCCGCTAATATTTCAATCAGATATATTGCCAGTTCATCGTAAATCAAGTCTTCACACCGTACAGTCCTCTACTATTTGATATACGATTCATAACAGTAGAACGGACAACTTGAGCTATCCTTAGATAATTTTTATCATTGCAGTACTTCTAAAGTATTCTTACACTTGCCTATCCATTATGTTACATAATTTAGTGTTATATAATTCATATGTTTTGTATATATATATATATATATATATATATATATATATATATATATATATATATATGTATATTCTCTTCAAGTGGCATTACACACTTTGTATATTTGTTGCCTTCATAACTAGCCTTTTCCATATCTGCTAATTTGTGCAACTTTTCTATAGTTAACTGCTTTCAAATATAAAGAATTTTTCTACTTTTTTTTTTTTGTTCTGTCCTTCCTCGCCTCGGCTATGCGGGGGTTTCCCGGACTAGGAGTTGAGGGAGAGGGATTAATGCCAGAGTTAATAGCTCCTCTTGGCACCGAGGGGAAGCGGGAGGAGGAAAGGAACTATTAACTAAAATCATAAGATATTGACTGACCAGTTTCTATGAGCAGTTCATTATTGGTCTTTCCCCTTCATGCGTTAGTACTCTGACCTAGATCAATCTGATTATATACCCATAATATAAATGACCACCTTCGGCAATCGGTATGTTATTGTAAACTCATTTCCTATTTTGATGAATAAAGTACATTAAATGTACTTAAATTATCTGGTATAATAGTAAATGTAAACAACTCAAAGACAGACCACATTTTATTTTTTATGTGGAACTTCTTTGGGCGCGTTTTGCGCTTTTTTGTGGAGAATTATATTGAGCCGTCAGATCTCCAATGTGTAACGCTTGGGTAAAGTCGGCTGGATCCGACTAATTGAAGTGTTTTTGCATATGGTTAAAATATCTCAAAAACCAAAAATCGGACCTGCCTACATATTGCAAGCGAGGGAAATGTTTATCATATCATCCCTTTTGTAATGAGCTATTATTCAAAATTGTATCTTAACGCGACGCAGTGTTAGAGATAAAATGGGGAAATATAGTGTCGAATACTAAAATATAACGAGGTTTATCGAAGATATGGATTAAAATGTTTCAGAACCTAAAAACGGACCTGCATACTGTAAGGAAGGAAAATGTTCAGCATTCCATCCTCTTTTTAATGAGCTATTATTTATAATTTATATTTCATATTATTTATCTCGCCTTGTCGTTGTTTTCACTTCTTTTGAGTGGTTCTAAAGCACACACCTTATTTATTTATTTACATATCCAATCCCTATAACGCGCATCACACAACTTTCACATACCACTCTTCTTTGCTTCTATATTAATTTCTGCTTTAATAGGGCTAATTAATATTTAAATCTATTATCGAGTTTTGAGTCGCTAAACTAAAGTTATTGAAGGCTATGCCATAAGTTTTCTCCTCCCATAAATACTACTTGAAATACACCATTAAAGCGATTTCAGATCTACAATATTTAAAAATGTGCACACTAATGACGTATACATATTAATAGCTTATTTAATTTGTGTGTAAAATGTGATTTATATTTTCTGATCAAATTTTTTTTACCACAACTTAATCATTAATATTTATGTAAAACTGTATCACTCAGCGAGTGATCATTATTTTTAATCAAATCAATAAAAATCAATGATCGATTTAAATTGTTATTTATAAATCATGCTTGATTTTTTAATGAAAAATTAAATATAATAATTATTACATGATTTTGTGGAAAAATAATTATCGATTTCAAAACGCTGTAACAATATAAACATTTTGCAAATGGCAAAATAAACTTCGATATTCAACAAAACCAGTATAACTTCGAGCATCATTACTTTAGAACAGTTGTCAAATTATTAAATATAACGAGCAATCATGTATTTCAAGGAAGTAATCGAAAGTTAACGATGTTGAAGGGATAAAGTTGGTTTTAGGTTAAAAAGTATACAAGACTCTCAAGTTAATATTGAAAGAAAAATACTCCATTACTCATGACAATTGGCATCGTTAGGCTATAAACTTCGCAAAAGTTCTTAAATTTCTTTCGTATCTCAGGTATCGAATATCTCAGGTAACAAGAAGAAATATTTTTCAATACATCATTAAGATAATAGGCATACTTGAGAGATAACAAACTGGAGTAAACTGATTCCAACATTAACAATCACAATTACATTTGCCTCCGAATGGTTTGAAGTTACCCGGCCTGGAAACAACAGAAGAAGCAACTAAAGCAAATAGAGTTGAGGAGTGGAAGTAGGGCAGACGGCCTATCAACTGCACAGAACAACAGCGAACTATGTTAATCAGTTTCCGTGTAGGCTTGTTCTCGCCGCGAATATTAGTCCAGTAGACCGATGCATAAAATCCAGCTCATAGGACGTAAAGGAACGAATTAGGTCACGATAACTAGGCCAACGAACATAGCATGTTTTTATAATTTTAAATAATTAACAACGAATGTTTAATACGTATATTGAACGATAAAAAAATAATTAGAATCAGAGTTTGAAATCGATAATTATTTTTTCAACAAACTCATGTAATAATTATTATATTTGATTTTTAATTTAAAAATCAAGTATGATTTATGCATAAAATTTAAATCTATCTTAGATGTTTATTGATTCCATTAAAAATAATGATCACTCATAGAATGACACGGTTTTACATAAATAATAATTATTAAAAAAAAATTATTTTCTTCAATTCTTCATCCGCAACTGTCATGGTAGTGACAATTAGCAGATTTGATGTTAGGTAGAAAATGGCATGATAGGCATGACGACGAATGGAACCCAGCAGCACCTCTTCTCTGGCCTGTTTACATCCTAAAATCAGAAAAGGAGATCTCTCATCTATCTCCTTTTCAGTCGCCTCCTGATGAACATTTCAGTCGTGGCCAAGTCGTTGATAAGTCCATTGTGATGTCCGTGTAGTTTAAGATGAAATCGGGAGTAGAGTGTACGTATGTGCTGGTCAATGGTTGGTTGTCCCATAGGATGAAGTGTTGAGAACAGGGGGTAGGCCGATGATTAAATATGGGACCTCTTTTACAGCAGAAACTACATTTTAAGAGAGAGATGGGAGTACTGTGGTTATTCATAAGTATGGTGGTAAGTTTTAGTCCAGTGATGGGGCTCACTAGTGTCCCATAAATGAAAATTTACTCAGTCTAGTAATAGGTTTTTAATGTATGTTTACCATAACATAGGTTTGTGAGTAAGTGGAGTATATGTTTTTTTTTTCATAACCCCATATGATGTGGTGTTGAGAACAGAGTGGTAGTACAAGGCTTAAACATGAACTCTTGTAGAATTGGGATGGATAATTGGGAATACTGTAGATATTCCTAGTTAAAGTGTGTCTTAGTCTAGTGCCGAGACTCACTAGTGTCCTGTAAATATCAATTCAGTCTAGTAATAGGTTTTTAATATGTTTGCTATCTCACACTAAGTGAGTAAGAGGAATAAGTGTATTGAAAAGTGGGTTTTGAAAAGCTCCTCCGCCTGCCGTAGAGCTGTCTCTGTGCTAGATAGTAATATCGCCGGCAGCCATAGGTGACGATGGGTCTTATGTATGGGACTTTCTCGTACACTGTCTATTTTTGTTCTACGAGAGAGTGAGATATAATTTAGCAATTTTTTCAAAGAAAAACAGCAACTATTCCTAGCAGTCTCATTCTCACTTTCAATCTTCCATCATTTCATTATTTTCTGTAATTACTTGAACATTTCTACCGCTGTGATTATCTATTGTGGCACATTCCCCTGTTCCATTGGTCGTCCTTCCAGTTCGCATGTAAACTCTTCTTCTCATTTATTTGTAGTATTAGCTCTTTTGCTGGTGTATCAAATTCTTTAAGTAGCTCTGCTAATGCTGTTTTATTTCTTGCCGTTATTACATCATCAGCATAAGCTAGATAGGCACTATTATAAATTGTGCCACCAGGACATGCCCGGATCGCCCTTATTGCGTACTCTAAAGCAATATTAAATAGAGTAGGGGATAAAGGATCACCTTGCTTGAGCCCCATCTTTTACCTCGAAATCCTCCGACAACAGGCCATTCGTCAACTACTTAAGTTGGGACTTGCTACCGCTTAGGGCCATTCTGGTCATAGTGACCAGTTTTTTAAGGGATCCTCAATTTTATCATTGCCTTCAGTAACTCTTCCCTAGTTATACTATCATATGCCTATTTAAAATCCATCAATTATAAATAATATATTAAATTAAATTATATTACTTATTTGATTGATCTTTTTTGGTTAATTATTTTCAATAATGAAACATTGTGATCGACCAAAAAATTCAAAAACATAACCCCCTCTCAAAATTTGAGGTTTCACGTTTCAAGATGCGTAGAATTCGAAAAACGAATAAATTTTTTTTTGTCCGTCCGCCGTCCGCCGTCAGCTGTCCGCGCATTTTCTCCGTAGCTACTGGACCGATTTTTTTCAAATTTTGATATAAAATCAGAGGTCACCCGAGGATGATCCTCCTTCATCGACATTACTCTCCGCCTTTAACTTTCAAAATGGCGGCCGAAAAACCTGCGTTGCTATTGACTGTAGCTCCTAAACGAATGTACAGATTTCAATGAAACTTCGCTGCTTTTTTAAAAGTTTATGAAATTTCCTAGAAAAATAAAAAAAAATAGTTAAAATCGGACAATTAGGAGCAAAGATATGGTCTCTAGTTTGTTTTTATGTGTTCTACTCCAAATGTTATATCCTTGGTTTAGTTTTTAAATTTTAAATGTGTTACTGAAATAATGCTATTTTTTTTTAGCACATTACTAATGATTAAAGAAAAACAGTTTAGTCCAATAATTGGAATCACCTTTTGTTTTGTTTTCTTTGTAACTCAGAAGGTAATGTTACTTCAGATGTATAATTGTTTGGAGATAATAAACCATTGTGAAATCATTTGCAGCGTTTTTTAACTATTCTCATGTTCTTTTGCGCTCTAGATAATTTAATCAAATTTGTAAACCTTTGTTTGATTAATTATATTCCTCGAATATTTTTTTAAGTGAAAACTTGTTTAGTCACGTTTTGTACTTCTGAGTCGACTAATTGAAGTGTTTTTGCACATGGATTTCCATATCTCAAAAAATAAAGATAGGAGCTGCGTATTATTAGCGAGAGAAATGTTCATTATTTCATCCTCTTTGTGATGAGAAGTTATTCAAAATTGTATCTTAAAGCGACTCCGTGTTAGGGAAGTGAAAAAGAAAAAATAGTATCGAAAACCAAATGATAGTTTTATTTAAGATATGGATTAAAATATCCCAGAAACTAAAAATCGAACCTGCATACAGTCAGCGATGGCATTGTTCTGCATTTCATCCTCTCTGTAATGAGCTATTATTTATAATTAATATTTGATATTATTAATCTCGCTTTGTTGATGTTTTCACTTTTATCGTCTGGTCTAAAGCACATACCGCAGTTTTTAAAGATTTTAAAATTAATTTCAGCTTGCTAGAAATATTTTATTAACTTGAATGGTCGCATATGTTCTTATGGTTGTATTAAGTTTAGGTTATTCGGTCTTTAAGTGTACTCTCTGGGTCAATCGTTAGCGCATTGTGGAGATCATCCAAAAACAAAAACAATAATTAATATTTTTTATAATATGAGCTGACGTTTTGTTTAACATTTTATGACAAAACGTCGAATTCTATAATAAAATAAAAATTAAAAACCGCATTGTTTGTTTTTTTTTAACTGAAGAGTTTTTTGATAATGTATATTCCAGATACTGGAGTAATGATATATTTATTGAGACCATGGATCACTATTAATATGTTATAAATTTAAAAGACCTAACAAGGAAAAACTTATTTTGAGGATGGCTTAAAATAATACCGAACAGCAGCCACGGGAAGCAACCACAGCTATTTATAAACTTGGAACACCATCCCACGTGTAACCTCTAACATTTCGTACTTGTTGGGAAGAGAAAAAACAACTAAAAACCTCTACTACTACAACTCATGATGAAGGGTTTTGACTTCAGTTGTAATGAAGTACTGTTTCCAAGTAAATATTTTTTTGATAATGATTTAACCAAGCATTCTCTCCTTAAACAACTAAGTTTTTTCTCATTAATCAACTAATTAATTAACGATACCCAATTCGTAATTCAATATTGAGTGTGCCCCAGGAAAATCTCCCAACATGATTTTGATCCAACAATATAAATAATTGTCTCCCACAACCGGTCTCGAAACCGAGTCATTGAGCTTCGCCGCTCCTGAATATCATTCACACTGTAGTTTGAATGATAATAATAATTTATTAATTCTGAAAATGATTTAAATTGAATATTTCTTAAGGAGAATATTTCATTTTTCTCTGTCATCTGATCTAATCATTAAAATTATGTATTAAATAATAAATTACCAAGAAATTTCGTTTTCCTTAAATTTCAAAGAACGAAGAAGAGGTTAAATGAAAGATATTTTTTATATGGATCACTAAGCATTAGCAATATATTAAAATAATTTAATGCCAAGGATCGTGCTAAACCGTCAGGTTTCTTCTCCCATTAAGATTGTCCACATTATAGAGGCTGAATGTGCCCACTGGAGGTTTACAGTTCATGTAATACAAAATACAATCAGCTGCCTCAGCCGGATTCGAATCAGAACCAAAGAGGTTGCACCTATCCAGCTCAAAGTGCAGTTTAAATCATTTTTTTTTTAAAGGTAGACCTGTTGTTGAGTTTAGAAATGTATTATTTTTATTAAAGATGGGCTATATGGCTATCATTACTATATATATAAATATTATTGAAGCTTATTAAAATGACTAGGCGAAAATCTAAAAAATATAAAGAAAGACAATTAAATTTATCTGTTGTTTATTGTTTTGTTTTTTCCTTGTGAGTCAAATATTTGACATGAATATTCATCGTCTTCATTTACAAGAAGTTTGAAAATACATGAGCCTATAAGTCGCTTAAGACCCTCAGAATTTATTCAGAAACTTCCAACACACTTAAGCTGAAGCGAAAAGACTTCCCTGCGACTGTGTATTGAAACGATTTTATTTTTAAGAACTTTTAAATTTAAATACATGATACAGGTAATAAATACACATAAAAACAAAACCTGCTAAAAAGTACAGTATAGGTTTATAAAACATTTTATTGTTTACGTAACTATCTATATTTACGTATATATCCATATTTAGTGTCGCTAGAGAATAAAGCATACAGAAGCTATTTTTGAAGTACCACATGCATTCGACTATGGAAAGACACAGTATAAAAACGTATTAGTCCTTGTTACAGACCCCTTTTTAACGAATTATTAACATCCGCCTGAACTTCGTAAATAGTTTCTTCTCATCGTAAAATACAACTACTTTATTTACGAAAACTCTTGGAATTTGGGCTTTTCAATCTGAAAGGGGGGCAAACTTTGTCTATTTAATTAGGTACTAAAAACTCGTAAATACCCATTTGCTTTTTACTTGGATCGTAAGATAATTTCATCACAAAATGAAAAAAAAAAAAGGTGGCCTTCAAAAATATTAAGTCGTTTGGCGTGAACTACATTCCCAAATTGTCAAAATAACGAGGTTATATAGGCACCATATTTTTGATGGTCACCCTTTTCATCGATTTTTTTATCAAATTATGTTAAGATCCAAGTAGAAAGCAAGTGGGTATTTACGAGTTTTTAGTACCTAATTAAATAAAGAAAGTTTGCAGCAGCAATCCAGTAAATAAAATAAAATTTTTACTGGGTGATTTAATTTCTATGACCGCTGTTGTATGTATATTTATGTTTATTATTATTATTTTTTTCGTATTGGTATATTTGAAATTATGTTAACAAAAAAAGGTTAATAATATAACATATTTTTATTGAAAGGTTTGAGGCAGTGAGATGAACTATCAATTCTCCACAAGATTCAAATTTTCCGCGGGAAATGTGTTAAAAATCTGTACGTAATGGAAGGATGCAAACGAATTATAAAATTCTAGGATATGTCGCAACATATAAGTATCTTTGAATGTGAACTAAATTTTCAATAATAGGAACATATGTGGGGTAAAAATATTTGCGTACCTACATCTAGACGTAAGCTTAGCCACCTAGTCGACTTTATCCTTTTTTCTTAATTGATTTTAGCATATTTCTTTCATTCATGCAGCTTAATTGTTATTGACTTTCACTTTTTTTCGGAATATTAGGGTGAGGGAAGAATAAGAGGATGAAACGATATTCTCGCCACCACTTTATTTTTCTGCGCCTATGACTATAATAATATTTTTAGTTTATTTACAATATATGAAACGAGTGCAGCATAAAACATATTACGGCTTCTTAGTAGATTTCATCCTAAGTACTGGTACATGTCGGCAAAGGAAAGTCTTATATTCTGTTCGAAGGTGGAAGGTATCTGACTACACTAGTTTAAATATCCGTAGAGGTAAATTTTTATAACAATCTACCAATACGTAAAAGTAGGAATGTAAAATATTCCTTGGGATGGGTAGAGATATTTCTGTAGTCGATTTTTTTTTTATATTTTGTATTATCGTACAAACATATGTAATATTCATAACTTTTATATATATTTTTTTTGTCTAGAAAGTCCAGTGATACGTAATAATCCGTAATGATCACATTATTCCAGAGAAACGGGGTTAATCAGACCAAGTCCAGATTGAAAACACTAATAGACATCAATTCAGATGATCTAATAACAAATGATCCCGGATTAGCTCTCTAATATGCAAGTAAACTAGAAATAGTGCTCTCACTAAACGACCGATTAAACTCAATCTGATATAAATTGGATGGTTTCGGAACAAAAAAAAATATGAACGAAAATATTGCAAAAACCTATCAAAACTCGAAACTTCTAGAAAGAAAGAAAAAATAGAAACAGGTTTCATTTTTCTTCGAAGCTCAATAGTTTAAATGTGTTTAACGATTATAGAATATTGGATCGATAGTTTGCAAATTTATCAAAATATCGAATATTCGGACCTAGAATTGTTTATCTGTGAAAGCAGAGAAATAGGTTAACATTGAAGCTTGCATTTTTAACAGATTTTACGCCAACAAAGAAACTTTTATATTCATATTACGAAAATCTACAATTAGCATAAAAAAATTAATATCTAAATCCAGACAAAAATCAATTAAATTGTTTAAACAAAAACAAAGAAAAAAGATTATTACTTAATATTACTTTACAAACAAAACAATACATCATGACCTCAACACTCTTTATGTCCTTGACTTCATTCTTTCTGTATTCTCTATCATTCATTACAACCACTAGTGGATCCAGAATTTAATTTTGGGGAGGACTTCAGCCCTCAAAACAGGCGGATCCACGGGGGAAAAGGGCTTTCGGGCTGAAGTTTCCCTTCCCCCTCCACTCCACAATGGTAAAATTTAACCATGTTTTATGGAAAAAATATTAAAAACTATTTCTTAAAATATTAGGAGCGGGGTAGCTCAGTGGGTGACCACTGAATTCCAGAGCTCAAGGTCCTAGGTTCGAATCCGGCTAACGACTAGTAATTTTTCATTAGCTGTTGATCGACCATCGGATCGGGATAACCTCTTGGGGCACACCCAGACTCTATAAAGTGCGTACCCTTAATTTTTAAAAAAATAACTAAGGGGGAAAACCTGGCGTTTGAGCGTGATATTGGCCCGTCACCTCCCTGAACAACCGTTGGTCTTGTAACAGTACTTCCTCACATAGTACTGCACCCAAGACCCTTCAGGGGTTGTAGTAGTATAGGTTTTTTTTTTTTTTCTCTTAAAACATTCTTGTTCGTGTAATTACTTTTAATAGGACTTCAAGAATCACTTACCATGTCATATAGGTAGTTAGTTTATTTTTTTAAAATTAATTATCGTTATATATATGAAAAAAAAAAAGCTTTCGGGTTGAAGCCCCCTTCCAAATTAAATCCTGGATCCGCTAGTGGCCCGAAACCATTTTTTTATTAAATATATACCGATAACTATTTTGGAACTAGAAGAAACTAACTACCTATATGAAATGGTGTTCAAGTGATTCTTGAAGTACTATTAAATGTTATTACATGAACAATAATACTTCTAGAAATGATTTTTTTCAAAGGACGTGGTTGTATTTTACTATTTCGAGGTGCTTTAGCCCGAAAGCTCCCCCTCATAGAACCGCATGTGATATATCAACAGATAATATTTAAAAAAAAGAGAGAGAGTTAGGTGGGGCCACTGCAATAGCTATATGCAATATGCCATCAGTGTATTTTATGATGGAGGATTCCCAACGAGTCTACAATAATAGTTTCTGCTCTGGTCTGCATCTGCTCCTTTCTAACACCGAGCCTCTGCAAGAAATTACTTGTATTAAGTGGGATCCTTTCCCTACTTCTAAACCACAGCCCTTTAACTGAGAATTCTTTTTCGCCGAATTCACCCCTATACTATTCCTTTAAGTAAGGGATACATTTCTTATACTTATCCTCCTTTTCTATTTGTACCTTGAAGTCTTATCCTGATCGTTCGTTTCAAATCTGATCTTGGTATCCACTATTAGTGCCCTTTTTTCTGTCGCAAGGAACGCTAGAATGTCGACGAACCTAGTTGAGCCATTCATATGCAGGAAATAAACCTCGAGAAAACATCTATCTACATATTTCTTTATTTCAAGAAATTAGGCTATTCGATGATTTATATTATTGTGCCGGCGGGTGAAAAGAATTATTATGATAATTGCCCAACACATGAGCTGAGGTTTCTAACTCTCGGCCACTTTTGCGTCAGAGAGGTAAAACAAATTTTGTGACACAAAATTGATATTTGGATACTGATTTTAGTTCACTACCATGTATTTTGTTCATATAATTGTAGGCTTATTTGCTCTCTTTGTCTTATCATTTTTTTTTCCGGGTCAATCTATGTCAATTTCATATTAATATAGGTAATGTATATTTATAGTTGATACTAGAAAATATTTATTTTCATTTTAGTAACTTTTAAATAGAACAGTAAACTATAAAACGGATACAAAACATTTAGGTACACACTATTCGGACATAATATACAATATTGAAATTCAAAAAACAACAATAGTCAAAAAAAAAAATACAACGAACAGCCATAATAAGAAATAAGAGGACAGGTACAAAGTACAGAAATAAAACTGAAGATAGCCAGATGTTGGTTAGTGTATCAATGAATAAGAAAAGATGTGTAACACCAAAAAATATTTAAAAAATGTGACAAATATTTGATTTTTTGACAAATGGTGTCACATCAAAAAAAGAAAGGTAAATAATTTACCTTAGTTAAAAAAAAAATAATATAAAATGTGCATAATTTCAGTGAAGATAAAGATTGCTCTGATGATAGGAAAATTGTCCCGAAACGTTAGAGACAACAAATTTAATTAAAAGAATTTGAGGAAATCGGAAGTATTATTGCCTTTAATTTGAAAAAAAGTAACTTTTAAAATATAAAATAGATTTTATTTATTTCCTTATATATATATATATATTTTTTTAACTTGGTTATTTAAAATATCACAATCTGTCTCAAAGGATATTTATAATAGTGTTCTGAGATAACATTCACACTTTATGTACAGTAAAAAAATAAATTATACAGAAAAATAATTATATATAGAATAAATAAATATAAAATAACCTTTACTGATAAATAAAATTCTGGTGCGCACAACACACAACTTTCACTTACCGCTCTACTTGGAATAGAAATTATTTTCTGGCAATGTTGGGCTATTATAACATGTATGAAGTGCATTTTAAACGGTGCTAAAGCGTACATATAACAAATCATTACGACCATTATAATTACATAAAGTCTATTTATAATATCGATGGTAGGCAATAAAAATCTAGTCACTCCATCTACTTTTATAAACCACACAACTTCAGTCTCTGAGCCTTTCAGTTGACAGAATGACTAACTCCAATTTCAACATTTTTTAGTAATGTCATTTTAGTAATATTCCTAGTTGAAAAATTTATCTATAAAGACAGTGAGTAAGTTGATTCCGTAGTAGGTAATTACAGTGTTGAAATATAGAATTGTGAATTAAGGTATAAATTTTGCCACTAGAAACATCACTAAAATTAATAATAAAAAATGTTGAAAATAGTCATTCTGTCAACCGAGAGGCTCATATATGGCTACAGAGGTTTGAAAGTATATCTGAATATTTAATCTATAAATGATTATGGACCGTAGGATAAATTTAAAGGGTGTCGAGATAATGACTTTAGCGACTTTGACTACATTGCCAAAATTATGTTGCAGAGTTCTGGGAAGACCACTTCCAGTGCAGGTACCCCAACAGCTCCCGCACACCTTACAACAAGAAGTACACGAAGAGCTGCACGACCAAGGAGACGCTGAGCAGGGAGGGCATGGCCTTCGAGAAGCAGCTGCAGTTCGTCTCGGACGCGGTGATGGCCCTGGCAGTCGCCCTGCAGGACATGCACCGCGACCTCTGCCCTGGGGCCAAGGGGCTGTGCGAAACGATGACCCCTACCAAGGGCAGTGAGCTACTCAAGTATCTCAGGGCTGTATCCTTCGAAGGTAAGGTCCCAGTCGTAATCAATTAAGGAAAATGAGATTTTTTTTTTATGTTATTCAGAGATAAGAAAGGTATCTATGATAGTAAAATTTCAGTATTTGACAAGAAAAAAGAAAGAAAGATAGATTTATTTTGCTTAGTAAATTTATTTTTAAAAAATAGAAATAACCAAAATGAATTTTATCATATTTTATATCAACCAACATAGTCGAATACTACGAGGTGGCGATGGAGGCAATCGTCCCTCTCCCCCTCCCCTCCCCCAATAAAAATTTCGAGGCGAATTAGGCGAAACGATATTTTCGCCTCCCAATAATTTGATCTAAAAACTATTAAAATTGATAACAAATAAGCTACATGCATGAATGAATGAAATTCGAAAACTAAAATCGATTAAGAAAAGTCGACTGGCTTGGTATCCTAGGTCTACAAGTAGGTACGTAACTATTTCATCACGACCTAAATATCCCTATTATTTAAATTCAGGGATAATAATAAAGAAACATATTCTAGGATTTTATGATTCATGTACCTAACATGTGGAAACCTCAATTTTCACCTGATTTTCTTATAAACTTTCTCAAATAATGTTGGAAGAAATATTTTTAATAAGTATACTTAACTATAAATATATTTTGTAGAGAATGTTTTATGGATATATTTACATAACTAGTTAAGCTTTGAAAACGTTGTATTTTTATTTTAACGTTATGCGAATTAAGAAAACAAAAATATTTTTCGGATTTTTCAACATTATTTATTTTGAGCTGTAAATAGAAATGTTCCTGAGTTATGAAGCTTTGTCTCCGTTTGATTCAAAATAATTATGTGAGTTGTTACACATTTACCTTTATTTATTTTTTATTTATTTATTTTATTTTTTTTTTCACGGAACAGCCATAGAGACCACGCGAATATCATGAAATTTGGCTTCTTTCTTGTTTTTCCTTTCTTTCCACTTCTCTCTCATGAACTCTGAGTGCCGCCGCTTTCTCTCCTCCGTCCACGCGACTCCCTTTCTCGAACTTTTTTTCTTAGCAAGAACCGTGATCTCCTTTAGTCTCTTACCATACCCCTCTCTGTCCAGACAGTCCCGGTCCGTTATTCCAAGTCTTTCCGTTCCTCCTTCATCTGCCTGATGTATCCTCCCAAGCTTTTGTATCTACGGATTTTCTACCAAAGGACGCCGAAACAATAACAATTATATAATATATATATATATATATATATATATATATATATATATATATATATATATATATATATATATATATAATACCAAATAAAATCAGAGATCAGAGAAAACTTTTAGTCCCCTGAAGACACTTTGCTGACTCAACTTCCATTCAAATTTTCAACCTATCCACTCATTTAGATAGGCTATAGAGGCGCAAAGAACCTTAAAAAGCACGATAAAAAAGAAGGAGCAAGGAATAAAATAAAATAGTTCAATTCATTTTTTTTCTTTTTTTTATATATTTTTATCTTCACCTACACCTGTCAGAAGTAATGACAATTAGCTAGCGGGTCTGCTGCCGGTAAGAGTAAAAGTAGTGGCTTGATCTGCTTGAGGGAGAGGTGTACCCAGCGGCATCCTTTATTTTCTTGATTTTATTATATTTTTAAGCGAGGAAATACCTCATTCAGCTTCATATGAGCCTCCTAAGTCTGTTTTCAGGCATGTTAAGTGTAGTCATACTTTGTATAAGTATGTTAGTATGTACATATAAGTTATCCTGAAATGTTTTGTAGTGTGTCCGTATGTGGTCGTTAACTGTTGGCATTTGTTGAAGGTCTGGATGAAAAGTAATATTTGTGACATACAATAGAGCTTTAGTTATAGTCTTAAAAGTTTTTTATTGAAACGTTTTTAGTTTTCTTACGAGGTTCGTTTCGGCTGTCCCCATATTTGAAATAGCCAAAATAGTTTAGACCAATAATTGGAGTCACTGTAGATGTAGAAATGTAGTGGGAATAAATATATTTAATTATGTGAGATCTCCCTTAAATTTCCAGAATCTTGTTTTAGATGTTTTAAAAACGGCACACCTACTCCTCCGATGCCTTAGATTGACTACAAAAATATATTATTCTGAATAAAATTCTATTAAAACGTTAAGATCCTCGAATAGCTCAAAATTCGTAGTTTTCATTTAAATCAGTCGGCATAGCGAAATTATACAAGGAAGCCACAATTACTTGAGAAATACACTGGTATCAATCGGTAGAAAGAACCAGAAATGATGTTTTATTTAAACTTTCAAGTATATGTTCCTTATTTTATAAATCAAAAAAAAAGTTTTTATACATTTCTAACTTTAAACTTTATAAAATAAAATTATATTTTATTTTTCTTTAATTTGACATTTTTTTTAACATATGAATCAAATTATATATATTTGTTTATATATAAATTATATATTAATAAACATAATTTGGTTATATAATTAATTTGACACCAAACATGACTTTTTATGATTTCCTTTTTTAATTTATGGTGTTCTTTTTTCTATATGATGACAAAGAAAAGCGCAATTTTGATAGATAACATAAAGCATACTGATTTTTTTTTAGTATATTAATTAAGACCATGTTACCTAACATTTTTGTTTCAATTAGTTCCATCTACTGCTGTTTTTCACTTATTTCTACTGCAGTATGTATTTTTTATGTAAATACAATAAAACTACTATTTTCATTAAGAGAACAAAAAACAGTTAATCTATTTTTCGAACAACAATTTTTTTTTATCTTGTATAATTAAGGAAACAAAAATTAAAACATAAATCTGTAAGTATTTCTGAGAGAGAAACAGAGAAGAATGCAATCTGGCAGAGATAATAATGCAGTCCTCATCGAGAGCCAGAGACTGAGAGACCTGAATGAGAGAGAAGGGCTTATCTCATTACAGCCGTTAATAAAGGCGGAACGACCTTTCCTCAGGAGCAGATGAGGCAAAAGTTGCAATCAACGGAATAATCCCGACCCAAAAGTGAAAACCCGGGTTTATTAAACCAACCTTAGATTAGTCCTTAATCAGTTGGGGAATCATTGCAGGCGCCTATTGTCTACTTTCGAAAGTACCCAGACGAAGGCAGATTTAGATCTCTCCATCCCTTTTTATTCGCCTCCCTTTTCGCTATATTGTTCCACTAGCTAGTCTTCCATTCCCTCACCCCCTTCTCTCGTGCAGGCCCATGTCGCTATATTGCGATAGAGTATAAAGGGATACACCTGTGCGCTCTTCCCATTCCGATAGCAAGCCTGCCTGAATTCAGGTCACATAACGGAAAAGGTTACTTATGACTACATCTTGTTCGAACATTATTGCGGGTGTATCTACAATTATATGATGTGATTTTAAAATTGTTTTTCGTGCATTTATAACTTATTGTTGCATAAGGGCAATAACAAAGGTGTTTCGGTAAATCTAGATGAGTCGGTAGTAGATTCAAAATTTAATTTTGGAGAAAGGATTTTTTTTTTTTATAGTAATTATAAATATAATTACTCTGGAAGAAAAAGAAAGGAACTATGTAAAATGATGTTTAAGTGATCCTTAATTACAGCAAAAGTAATGTTTTTTTCTCTCAATCCACGCCTTTTAGGCTCTACGGGTTATTTCCTAGGCCAGAAGAGAGGGCGAGGAATTATTGTAAAATTCCTCCAATCAAACACGAACTCGTAATTATTTTATTACCATATCTGCGGTTTATCAGATCGCCGAGCTACGCGTTTTGTACACGCCCACTCCCTATTATATTTTTTTTTTATTTTATGTTTGGTTTTTTGTCCTCCCATTCCTTGTATCCCAGAGGATGATGTTGGGAAATTGATGCCAGAGTTAAAAGCTCCACTGGCCACCGGGAGGCGAACTCATTATTATTTTTATCAAATTATCTTTTATCCGTGTTGCCAGGCAACGCGCGGTGCTGTACATACGCTTTAGCCAGCTCGGCCAACTCCCCCTTATTTTATCTGAGATTACTAACAGAAACAAATATATACCAATTAAAAAAATATATATTAAGGAAGAGACTACAGGATAAAAATTTCCTTCCTTCCGCCTGTGATCGGCAGTGAAAGAGTTCAAGAATAAAATATTTCTAGTCTAATTACAAGATATTATAAGGATATTAATTATAATTGTAATAACGTTTGTGGTTACCTCAACTAGTATAAACAACTTCAACTAGTATAAATATTTTATTTACTCATAATCAGAACTGAGATTTTTATGCAGTAAAAACAGTAAAATGAGTAACAAAATATGTCGAAAAAATATGAAAATCTAAAAGGAGCAAAACTTTTCCTAATATTAAATAAGGTAGTTTTAATATTCAAATATATTAATGTTCCTAAAAAAATTCAGTCCTAGGAAAAAATTTGGAGATGGAATAAAAATTATTTCAATTTTTTTTTTTAAACTACGACTCCTCGATATCATTCCAGATAATTGAATCAGATTTATAGATACCAAAAGTAGTTGGAATCGATGGGAAAGTATCGATAGTTCACTTATATCGATCAGTATCCTACGTCCTTCCTCGTGTACATTATACACTACGGTATCCGTAATGTTCCGTTAATCCCAGGCGATGTCATCCGCCGCCTACGGGTACACCTGGACAAGAGACTAGCCCGAAAACTTCATACAATATAGAGTCGACAGGAAAGTTCTATTAGATTCCATCCACTTCAACTCTCCTACACCAAAACTCTAAGCAGAGTTCATAACAAAAATCTGATACCGCCAAACCAATCTAATCTCAAATCCAATACCATCAATACTCCCAAAGCAGGAGTCCTAAATATTTTTCTACCTACGGGTCTATATAAATATAAAAATATATATATAAATAATAATCTACTTCTAAAGATATCCAAGAATAATTAAAAGAATGAAAAAATACTTACAAAAGTAAACCATTGAGAAATTTAAGTAGTTGTTCAAAATCAATCAGAACAGTACAATAATTTATAATTTGACTCTCCTACCGCT